AAAGGGTCAGACAGGTAACAGTAACCAGAAAACTTACCGGGAGCCCCAGTCCTGGGAAGCTTGTGGTAGTTTACCATTAAATTTCAGCAGAAAATAGGATACCACCTTGTCTAATTTAAGGTACTCAGGGAGATACTTGAATAAACTCCATAATTATCCCATTCACAGTATTCCTTTTTCCTTTTCTAATGTCTCCCTACAAGGAGGTTGCAAGGGCAGGACAACCCATACCAAATCCAATTCCCAAGTTTTTAATATAAGCACAGCCACAATGAACAGCCAGGAACCAGACAGCATCCCTTACTATTTTTATAAAACAGTACCATCATGGCTAAACACATTAGATCTCTACAAGGGAATAAATAAATCAGAGCAGCAAATAGCATCCCAACTGTGGAGCTGCAGCCAAGGAACCAGCCCTTGCCACTGTGACTGCAGGACTGTTAAATTCACATTGCACAATGGAAAAGTGGAGTCGAGCATTGGGGCTGCTTACTGGGACTGCAGCACTGAACTGCAGCACACTTATCACCTGTCCACCACAGTTTCCAAGGGATAAAGTACAGCAGGGAGAGGAGTGCTGGCCTGTTTTTGCTGGCTTTGCTGTTAAACCCACTGGCAGTACCGGAGAAGAGGCACTGCCACCTCCTGTTTACACGGTGCAATAGGAAAGCGGAGGCTGGCAGCGAGCTCAGCCCTGCCAGGCTGGGGGGAGCAGCAACGCCTCCAACACTGATCGTATTGCTTATATCCACTGAAATCCACCTTGTTCCACGAGGGGGGGGAACAAGAAGGGGCTTTGATGGTGCCCTCCACGCCAGCAAGAACAGTCAGCTGTTAATCCAGCTCCTTGTAGCCCAGAGTACTTGTTTACAAGCATCACAAGGACACCTCTGCACTGTGGGACTGGGAGGCTCCCACTCCCTAAAGGTGAGCACCCGCTGCCACCCCCGCAGGCCCTCACTGAGAGCCGTCAGCACAACCCAAGTTAGGCAGCAGTAAATAAACAGCAGGACAAACCACAGACCCAAAGCAGACTTTAATACATTTGTATGTTTATTATTTCAAAGTACAGTATATACATAAGGTATAGCAATATCTTCAAAAACTTTATACAGAAACAGGTATCTACAAAATTAAACCAATAGACATTCTGTGTATATTTGGATGACTTACACACATATACTGGAAGATTCAACATAGTTTCAGCTAGGACACGAAAACGGGAAGGAAATGCCCATCCATCTTGGAAAAGCTCTAAATACCACCCAGCTCCCCCTGCCCCGCAGCCATCTGCCCATGGACAGGTGGGACACGGTACACCTGATTCCTTGTGCCACCTACTGCTGGTATGCAGTCACAGTGCTTCCTGCTGACAGCAGGAAGGGTGAAGATCCTTTTCTGACAGGCCTTGTTCTCTGAGCCCCTCCTAGATTCAGACACCTGATGCACTGGAAGCCAGAGATACAGTTTCTTTTTTTTTTAGTTATGAACCAAACCATTGTAATGAGAAATATTCCATGAGAGACACTGCAGGTGTTGCCAGCAACAAGTAAAGATAAGGAGAAAATATCCAAGGAAGAAATCAATCTCCATTTTTCTGGACACTATAATTAAAAATATTGCACAAGTCTACATGGCAGAAAGCCAGTGATTTGTATAGCATAAAATGGTATTCCTCAGGTCAGAGGGTCTGGCTTCATTCAGAAAATGAAAGTTCTGAATTTTACAGAGAGTAGAAAAGCATAGGCAGCTTTCTTGTAGGGTCTCTAACAACATCTGTATGTGTGATGTTCGAATTAAAAGAGCACCCTGAGTATTTAAGAAACAGATGTTTAAGCCTGTAAGACACAACTAGCTTCAAGCTTGGAATTTTCAACAGCAGCCTGTGGCAATTACACATCTAATGGACACTGAATTTCAGTGACAGGTAGGTACCTAAATGCTCCAGGCTGCCTTCATAATTAGTTTATCTCTAAAATTCAGTTTATCGGAGGACAGTTTTCAGTTTCAGGTTCATAATGTAAAGATTCCAAAACAAAGATAAGTGGAATGTGATTGCAAGCAAGTCTTGCAGCCACTCTGCACCAGCTGGTGTTCACCTGTGTGAACCACCCCAAAGGAACACATTTTTCCACAGAAAGTGTTCTCTTTACGTGCACCAACAGTATCACCCTCCTGACAAGTAATCCCATGGAAACCACAGCACCTGGCCTGCCAGCAACATTTTATGGCTAATACATCACTGCCTCTCAGAAATGAGGAACATCATCAAGTAAAGTTGCTGGCTGACCCCATCGGGTATTCATCACATTCTGGGCTAACTAGAGAGTCATTTGCCATTATGCAAGCTAGAATGACATTTCCATCTCTAACAGATGTGTTTCAAGTAACACCTGTAGATGACAACTTTGGTCCATGAAAGTACCGTGCACAATAAACAATGTGATAATTTTTCTGCTTTGTGTGTCTCCATGACCAAGGGAAAAAAAAAAGTCTGAAAAGTTACTAGTGCTACAAAGAGTAAGCAGCATTGCCAGCAGGGCAGGAGGACAGCTAACTGGGTTTCTCAAATAACTTAAAAGGAGAAACAACCATGCCAAAAAGAAATAAGAATTTCCACATCATTGCACTGATTCCATCTGCACCACACCTCTCCTTCATTCACACTGTACACCTGGAGAACATACATTAAATGATTACAATATTAACATGGTATCTAAAATACTGGAGTCATTCAGCTGAACGCCTGAAAATATCTGGAGATCTGGTACATTAAAGCATGAAAACACAAACATACAAGAGCCAAGCTATGTTTTAGCATGCAAATTGTTCTAAAATACTTTCTTCTCAGCAGAAGATCTAGCTCAGTCACAAGCAACTGTCTGTTCACTTCCTGGAAGCTGGTGACAAATCTGCTCCAGCAGAGCCAGGTATTTTCCTTTTTACATCACTTAAACAACAGTAAAGCAGAGGTAGTCCCATGACTGGACTGGTCCAAGTTCCCTAACACTTCAGATAACCATTGCTCTCAGGAATTAGAAAAATAGATGTATAAAAACCCACCCAGATTAAAGGCTTGCAATTTCTACATAATGCTCGGTCAGGTTTTAAACAATTTGTTCCCACTCTCCCTTTCTAAAGAGATATTTGATCCTTTGACACAGAAAGGACCGGTCATCCCAGGCTCTTGAAGTCCTCTGGACCACAAACCAGGTCTTGATCCCGCAAGGACTTTCAGAGACGCCTATTTTTAAAGTAATAAGGAAATCTCATTGTCTTGAACCAAACTATTCAAACCAAATCAGGCCCTTTTGCTCTGTGTGTTTCATGACAAAGCTCAAGCAACTCAGTGGCACCTGAAAATGGAGTACACACCCCTACGTCATTCATATGTGTAGGATGCAAAAGGTGCCTGCAGTAAGACAGATTCTTACAACCCCCCCCCTTCTGATTAAAATAGCTAAAGCACTCCTATTGTAAATGTACAGGGACTCTGTTTTCATGTCAATAGGAAGTTCAAGTATTTAATAAAAACCTGATGTATATATTTACACTGTAATCTGATCTATTTATTTTGGTCAAAAGGCAATAGATACAGAAACTATGCATTTACTGCTGCAATAGAGATATTTCAGATCCTGTATATTATTTATCCTGGAATTAAAATGTGAACATGATGTTGTGACTAACCCAAATTTTGTCACCTTGATACTCTTCCTCCATAACCCTCTCAGACGCTGAAGGACTAAATAACAGCCCTCAGTTTGTGCCATTTTGACCAACTAATTCTTTACAACAGTAAAATCAAGGAGTTGCACAGATTTCTGTGCCACTTTCACAGTCCAACAATAGATTAAAATCCCATTTAAATATATTTCTTATTTTTTACCACTACTCTCATTGACTGGTCTAGTCACAGGTAATAAGAAAAGTTAGTTAGCTTCCATTTGTCTTTGAAACAGATGCAATCACCACGTCTACGTGTACTTACGGAACAGTGGGCAACTAACACTCCTACTTCTTAAATGCTGTTAGTTACACAGAAGCTCAGAAATCTTTATTAACCAATTACTTGATATCAGACTTCTTTAGATCCATATGCCTAAAGATCAAGGGTTTAAAAGATTTGTTGAACTGACATTGGTTTCAATTACATGTACTCAAGACCTAAATCAGAAAGCTTCTTAATCCCTTAGTTTTACTGTTGTTTCACTTCATTTGAATAAAGAAACCGAGCAGTTGAATGTTGATCTAAAGCAGAAAATATGCAATATCGTGGCCCCCACTTAAATCCCAAAATTTTGTGACAGAGCACTTTTCCATGCATATGTCAAAAATGCTTAATCAACCTAAGGATCAGAAATAATATGCAAGAAAGGAAATAATGTCTGAAAGCCCTTAAAGCTCAGTAACACTGGATATGTTCAAAAGCAACTAAGACATAATTGGCTTTATTTTTTTCAAGCTCCATCGTTAAGAGACTGATTAATTACACAGTGAAGAAATTAAAATCTTACAGCAACTCACTCAAACGTAGTATGCACTGCAAAGCATCTGTATGTCCTTTCAAATAAAAGTTCTAGATAAATGTAGTGTGTAGTGAAATTCAGCAGCTCCTCAGGCTGGAACTGGGTTGACAGAACCACAGTGATGCCAAACCCTGTCAATCTCTCACACAACTAAGCCTCTGTGGTCAAAGCCTTTTTTTGCAAAATACCAGATGCTTGTGCTGGCAGGCAAAGTGTAAAAAACAGTGGTCTGTAGCACCTGCCTTTTCTGCATCTTCATGTTGGTTAGTCCATAGAAGTTTTAGTTACGTCTGCTTTATTCTCTGTTCCAGTTCATGCTTGTGTTTAATAAGCCGTTCTATTTCTGTTCCTAGAGTTTGAAGGTTTTCCTTTGAGGGGAAAAAAAATGATAGGGCAAGTTATACATGGAAAAGGAGTCAATCAGCACAAAATACACTAATAAGTCAAAATTACTGTTTATGTCAGCAGGTTGATACTTTCAAGTACTCAGAACAAATGCAAATGATTAGACAGAGTGGGAGAAAACCAAGCTCACTTCAATAAAGGACACAAACCTCTCAGCAAGTCTTTTTCTGCAATTACTAATATTCTACAGGATGTCTAGAAAGTACAGCATTCAAGGGGAATTATAATTACAGGAAGAGATCTCCAACTTCTGCAGAACACTGCAGTCCAGCTGGCAGCCTGCACACTGTTTTCCAGCCTGACTCATTCCCTTGCAGCAGAGGTGCTGCCCCAATAGCTCAGGAGGGTACCCAGGTGCTGGTACAGGACCAGGCAGGCAGAGCCCATGCTCCTGGCTCCATGTGACTGGGGCAGAGCACAGAGAGACCCTGCCCTGCTGAAGGCCTAGGCAGGCCAGACTTTATTTCAAGCAGCAACCCATCAGTGCACTGTACTCCAAGGGTCCCAGACCAGAGGTTCAGCATGGATCATGCCACGTAACTCTCTGGTTAACCAATTCACAATGAGCTGACTTCTGAAAAGCCTTTTAACTCCATGCATCTCTGAAGGCAGCATCTCAGAAGCACAAGAATGAAAGAACTGGCATAGGTACTCACTTTCAATGTAATGTTTTTCAGTAATGTATCCTCTAACACAGCCTGTAGCTTCCTGTTTATCTCTAAGGAGAGTTCCAATGTGAGACCACTATCTGCAGGATGAGATGTGTACAAAGATGCCATAATCCCACCCCGTCTACTCAGGTGTACTTTGTTGAAGTCAGAGGCCTCTGATGACAGTGTTCCAGCTTCTTCCCGCAAAATGTAACTCTGAATAATTCTGGGGAATAAAAAAATAAAAACAACAACATCACAGTGTTACGTTGTTGTGAAAGGCAGTGAAAAGTCAGACACTGAAGTAACTTCAGACTCTTGTCATGAGTAATTTTATTTACAAGCAGTACTATATTACTAAAAAGACAGTAAAAATTTACTCCTGCAATTTCAAAGTCAGAGGAAAACCTGGGATACCAAAAGTGATAGAGGAGATGCTGGTAAGATGAGGCACTATAATGCACAAGGTTTTTCTTATTTAGAAGTATTCTGAAAAGCTACTGGGACAAAAAAGGTACTTAAAAAAGATGTCTCTACTTTTCTTTGCTGAAAGATTCCAGACAGAGAATCTTAAGCTTTCTATATATGAGACAAAAATTACAAAGTCTCTTCTCAGGACTCTTCCCAAGCTGTGATCATGTTCTGTGAAATGGGACCAGATGGGCATAAATGTATGGAGTCATTAAGCAAGGGCTATTCTTAACAGGCAAGTGCACTTTCCAGAGGAAGGCATATGCCATCATTCCTTCCCCTCCTAACTAATGTTCCAGACATTATCCTGTAAGTTGATTTCCATTTAAGTGGAATCTTGTCTCACATGTTAACTACTGACCACCTTTGGCTCAGATACATTACTTCTCTGATACATATGCCAGACTACCATCTGGAGTTATGCAGATTCTCCTTCCAAAACACTTACAATCAGCACTCTTTTAAGCACAGGAAAAGAATGGACTCTTCTGTTAGCCAGTGGCAGTAGTCCACCTCAAATCAGCCACCTAGTGACCATTTTGCTAACAAAAACCCACCTGCAGCAGTCTATTCCTCCTGAAAAAATTTAGTAATAGTAATAATTGTCAAAAACTTGGCAATTACTATAACTGCCAGGGAAAGATAAGGAAAAAAACCCCAAGACTAATCCTACTTTTAAAATCTACTGTCACTGCAATATTTTTATTATTTTTAAACATTTTCCTTTAGACAATAACTTGTCTTACATAAAATCCAGACTATTTATCTAGTACATCAGCTCAACACTGACAAACTGTATGAACAGAACACAAAACATACTTTGTTTTTTTCCTGATTTCCTCCACCAGTTGTTTAATGTGATCCTCCATAAACTCCATCTTCTCATTTTTTCGAGCATGTGCCTTCTGTAGCCTCAGTATTCTTTCAACCAGGACAGACTTGTCCACCTCTGGGAAGCTATCCACAGCTACTGAAGATCCAGTATTCTCAGGTGACCGATCCTCATTGCTGCTGCGCGCGTTAAGGGACCCTGAAACACACGTGTATTTGTACAAATTCCTTTTGCATTTATTCCAGAAGTGCCCCACCAGTGCAGTGCACGCATTCATTGTTTCAGGAGCTCAGGATGTTTTCTTCAGGATGTCAGTTTCCCTTGTATGTTAGTGGGGTTTTCTATAAACAATCCTTACACCAGCACAGGCTGAGACAGCAGTGCAGTCCCCTTTTATGGGCGTACTTCCTTTAGCCTAAGAGTGCTTCCTTCAATAATGCTTCTTCCTGCTTAAATACCTTCATATTCATTAACTTGGTACAAGATTGAGCTGATTTTAAATATATACATTTTGGAGTACACTAAAATTACAACACTATGAAAACTGGACAGACTGACAAAGCCCTACGTATAAACACTCTGCAGCACCAATCACTTAAAGCTTGAAGTACTTTACTTTCTGTTGTTCTTCTTTCTAAGCATTTGTCTCTCTCATACAGTGACGTTACAGGACACTTTGACAAAACAAAGCCCACTTAAACCCCAGAGATACAAAGGAAGGAAACAGATGTCATTTTCAGTGCTGAAGATCACTGTTCTAGTTCTAACCAGATAGAAAGTAATGAATTTTACACAAACCCACTGATGCCTCTAATGATGTTAATTGATTTATCATTTACACAGTTGCAACTGTCAATATGGCAATTAAACAATGCTGGAAGCCACTGTTCTTTTTTTTTTTTTTTTGCCTCTGGCAGCATGTGAAAGGGTCCTGTATAAACTGGAGTCCTCTGAGCTTCCTCCAAACATAAAAGCAACAAAATAAAACAGATAGGTATTTAAAAAGAACTGAGATACATAAACATTACACTTTAATATCTTAATAAGCACCTACAACTGCAGTCAGCCAAAGCATTTTGGTGCTTAAAGGCTATTTTGTCAGCTTTACTGGGAGGCTGCCCACACACTGCATATGCACAAACCACAGAAAGAGCGAGGCTCATGGCAGCACATCATGGCAGCTGTACTAAGATCGAAAGGTTATTTTGGCAGCCCTGCTATGTGCTGTATTACCTGATGAACTGGAACGGCTCCCCATGCTGCTGACTTCTTTGTCATAATTACCATTTTCAATCTGATCCAATTTCCTCCGTGCTAAAAGTGTAACAAAGTGATGGTTACCAATAGCAGATTAAAAACTAAAAATTACAGTGTTACCCAACATACAAAAACTCTAATCCTCTACCTGCACTAATTTAACATGGCTTGAAAACCAAAAGATAATGGTAGTAACTAAAAATAAAACCCAAAACCAAACAGCTGCCCATCTCTCTCCATCCCTGACCACGAAGCACCTGAATGTATCATCCGCCACAACCCCTAAACACTGCAGCCAGTTGAAACGGGTAATGTCATACATAGGATTAACTGGGAACAGTAAGACTAAATTTGATTTTATTTTTGATTAGGACTGCCATGTAAATAACTCCTGAATGGAAGAATGGCAGCTCTGTTCCAGCATCTGATAACTGTATCACCACGGCCAGCCCAGTGCAGTACTTGTGCCAGAAGCACTACTCATTCAGCAGGGATCAAGAAGGAAAGCACACAGCTGTTCTTTTATGTACAAAAAGGGGCATGGAACTTGTCTTGCACAATGCCAACAGGACATCTTCTTTAAAACACATTTTAAACAGATTTGATTACCTTCAGATCTATTTGCATTCAGAACATATGTATTATTGGGTATTTGATGGCTTCTATTTATACAAAAAGTTAGTCACCAGTCCCTCCACATCCAGCTTTTAAAAACTGAAGTGTTCTAATGTACTAAAAAAATAACTGTCACCAGCAATTCCTGATACAGTCAGCAACTAGGAAACTTCTAGCAACTTTTGAATATACTCCTACACAGACTAGGATCCATATATACCCACAGTGACATTTCAGTAGTCACATACATCATAACAAAGACCAAGCTCTTTTGCAACAAATCTTTCATTTTAGGTCTAAGCCCACTTCAAGAGTTACATTTAAGACCAAAAATTGACACAAAGGTCTGTAAGTGCAGTTTCCACAAGATCTAACTTGTTCACTCACTCTTGTTAGGGACAGGGAGAGCTTGAAGGGTGACACTCAAGCAGTGCACACACACACACAGACAGCTCTCTACCAGACACTGTGAAGGGATTTACAGAGGGGGGCTGACTCATAACTGAAAATAATTTCCACCTAGCTGAAGTTGTTTTGTGAGGTCTTTCAGGTTTGCTGCGTGCTTGCGCTTCTGGGTAGCCAGGTCATCCTTGAGCTCATCCACCTGGGTCTTCAGTGCTGCTCGTTCCTCCTGCTCTGATGCCACCTGGGTCTGCAGCGTCTCAACCTCCAGCTTCCGTTGATCCTCCTCCTTCTGTAGCTTGGTGGCCTGAAAGTGTGATTTTATTTTCAGTAATCTACAAAAACATTCTAGCCTAACCATACTGTATGCTCAACAGCTCTAACTGCACTTTTCAACTCAGAATCTTTCACATTTTACAATTATTATTTAGGCTGAACAATAGCCCTGCAGATGAATAGTAAGATTCCTGAACTATCTCTAAAACATATGGATGATAAAGTACAAAGCCTTGCAGAGCTGTACAGTACAGTCACATTACCTTCCATGACACACTAAGTTTACTAAAAATCACATTTATCTCATACTACAAACAAGACCTGAGAAAGTTTACAGTAATAAATTTCACAGGATATTACAACCTTTCATTTGTTTCAATGACAGCTGCACAGAGAACCACTCTTTACTCCCAGAAAGAGCAACACAATAACACCTCCTCATTCCAGTGCATTGCACCTCAGAATTTCTTTTCCTTTAGGAACATGAGGTGTTCATATCCCACTGCCACTATTCTACCAAATTGGCAAACACCATGAGAAACTGCAGTCAGGTAAGCAAAGACACAAGGTGGTATTCATGTGGAACATCTTTATCTGTATCAGACATCTTACTAGTGCAAAAATCAAGCTGCACACTGTACTCACCAGATCATCTTTAGTCTGTTGAACACATTCCAGCTGATTCTGCAGCTCTCTTTCGCTGTAAGAAAGCTTATCCAACTGGCTCTGCAAGGAATTGTTTTCAGACTGAAGCTGTGCATTCTTACTGGTTAATTTTTCAGTGAATATCAATAGCTCAGATTCTCTTTTCCGACTACCTTCAATGTCCTTCTGGAGATCAGCAACCAGAGAATTGAAACCATCTATTTCTTCCTTTAAAGCATTGATTTCTTGTTCATCTCTGTCAAAACAATTATATCTTATTAGGGATAACTTGAGCTTAAAGACATGACATCTTATTGAAATAAAGGCATTCAGGTCAAGTTCAAAGAAGGCGGGGGAACAATTAGTGACCCTGGGGCATCTGTTAGTCACTGGATGATTTTAAATGTCAAAGTTTTCACTTCATGACATGCTGCAGTGCACCCCACAGAAGGACATGCAGGCATTAGCTCCCTTCAAGGAAGAACATCTCTCTATATTCAAC